ATATATATATATATATATATATATATATATAATATATATATATATATATATATATATATATATAATATATATATATATATATATATATATATATATATATATATATATTATATATATATATATATATATATATATATATATAGATATATATATATATATATATATATATATATATATATATATATATATATATATATATATATATATATATATATATATATATATATATACTATATATATTATATATATATATATATATATATATATATATATATATATATATATATATATATATATATATATATATATATATATATCTATATTCTCACGTATTGATTCACGGATGGAAAAATATGATGACACTATATTCCGGGATATCATGCGTTCGCTCGTTGAACTCCGACTGGAATCCTGCATCCGACTGGAATCCTGCAGACGTTTCGCCAAAATCTCACTTGGCATCTTCAATGCTGGCGCTCCGAAAACAGTGTTCAAAGTGTTTTCGGAGCGCCAGCATTGAAGATGCCAAGTGAGATTTTGGCGAAACGTCTGCAGGATTCCAGTCGGATGCAGGATTTGCAGGATTCCAGTCGGATGCAGGATTCCAGTCGGAGTTCAACGAGCGAACGGATGATATCCCGGAATATAGTGTCATCATATATATATATATATATATATATATATATATATATATATATATATATATATATATATATATATATATATATATATATATATATATATATGTATTTATAAATATAATAAAAATAAAAAAAATAATAGCTGCGTTTTATTTTAAATTCGTACTCTTATGTAGATATAGGGTGAAAAATGAAAATGTTCGTTCAAAACAACTGTATTTTCCTTTATATAGTTGCTTTTTTATGGAGGTCATATTGAATTTCTACATTTTCAAAATCCTTAAAAACGCTTCTCAATTAAATCCAAAAAATAACAAAAATATAATTTCAGTACGCTGATTCGTAATTTTTGTCAACATTCAGTGTCAGTTGTGTCATATGTAGGAGTGTTTTATTTTCCGCCGTAGAAACGAAGCAAAAGCCGAAGAAGGGTATTTAAATAAATGTCTGAAAAGGCGTCAACCGAGTGGTTTTATTATGTTTAGGCGTGTGAAAGTCAACCTTGTCACCGAGGTACCAAACTTTTTCTTAAAAGTCCCCTGGACAGATATTATAAACGTTCCACTAGTGACTCTGCAACAAATGTTTTTCCAACAAGACGGCGCACCGTCACATAATGCAGTCAGAAAATTAAGTATACAGAAAGTTCTATGGAAACGTTGGAGAATTAAGAGAAGCCGTTACAGGAGGCGTTAACAGTATCACCCTGCAAATGTTAAGGCAGTCCTGTGAAGCAGTGTTGAGAAGATGTATGTTATGTTTGGAACAAAACGGCGGATAATTTGAACCGCTAAAGCTATGTATGAAAATTTTACTGATGTCCTTTCTCGATCGTCTCTCTTTAATTTTATGGACTTCTTTCCTGTCCACTCATTATTTAAATCTGTTTTAAAATTGAATATCAATATGAAATCCTACTATCCGGAAATCTTATTTTTCTTATTTTTTCAGATTTATTTTGACCACACATAAATGTGTCGTCACACCTGGTTGAAGAGCATTTTAAAACAAAACTTTATCTCGGCCGTGCGCAACATTGTAGACCTTTTTTTGACGCTATTTTTAGCATAGTCGTATCCTTTTACCCATATCTTGAAAATTTTAACATTTCAGCACTATAATAAAGAAAATATTGTGGTTTTTCAAAAATGGATATTTTCTTTTCTCACCTTGTTCTACGTAAAGGTATACTGTTTTGAGGGTTGTGGAGCTAAAAGAGAGACATGAACATTGAACATGAACATAATATGCATTTTGCAAAACTTAATAGGTTTTGGGATATTTTAATTTTCCTTTTTTTCTCAAAAATCAGTCAAAATGTAAAACTTAATGTCCTAAAATGTAGTTTTCAAAAAACCAGAGGCTTATATTTGGAATGAACAAATTGCCGGAAACGTTATATCATACGTATAATTTAAATAAAATGTTTTCTTTTTGGTAAAGTATCGCAATTTCATCAATATTCTTCCAAAATTTTCTAAAACTTCCTTATCGGAATAATTGTCCAATAAAGCGCAGTGTGAGTCAACGATAGAGTAAAGTTCATTATTTCATTGGATTCAAAAGTTATGAGAAAATGGAAATGCAGAAGTTGTAAAGATTGCTAGGATGCACAAATTAAAAATATTTTAAATTGGGGCTCAACAAAGCTTGACGAATATAATATCCAATTTTTGAATTTTGTTTTGAATTGGTTTTGAAATCCTTTTACTTTTTTTTGTTAATAGTAATATGAGTTATCACACTTGCAAAAAAATTACAATAGCCCCATTATTTTCATTCATATTTGATATTAGCGTTATTCGAAGATGACGTAAAAGATATATGCAGCAGAATTTGAATTAGATGCTACAGGATGTTCAAAATAAAAAAATATATTTGGATCACTTTAAATTGAAAAAAAAAACAACTTGTATTAAGTATGTCATATAGCTATTTTAATAGTTTGCGATTAATTTTGACTTTTCCCTTCTTTCTGTCTAAGACTGTTGCTATAAAATTTGTTGGCCATGACAAAACCAAGCCAACAACTCTGTTAGAATTTACAACACACATGGCAATTTATAAGAAAATTCAAGTAGCATAACGAAATAACCCTCCTTTGTCTTAGTTTTTCATAAAACTTGGTGTCTGTAAAGGTCTCCTCCCCGTAAAGGTGTATGATATTTTCACGTATTGATTCACGGATGGAAAAATGTGATGACACTATACTCCGGGATATCATCCGTTTGTTTGTTGAACTCCGACTGGAATCCTGCAGGCGTTTCGCCAAGATCTCACTTAGCATCTTCAATGCTCGAGCGCCGAAGTGCTTTCTTGTGAACTTAAAGATGCTGTCAACAAAATTATCATCGCACTGTTGGCTTTTGAGATATAAGGTATAATCCAAAACTATCGATTTTGGGACCACCCTCCGTTATCTTTTAAGTTATTGAAGAGTTTAAAAAACTTTCCTATGGGATTTTTTCCGTAGAATCCCTTTTTTTTACTTACTCTAACCATTTATTAGTTATGAGGTAAACATATATTTTTTTAATGGAATAGCCTGTATATTATTTTTTTCATTAATTATTCAGCTCGGATGCAGTTTTGCCGCTGGTATTTGCAACAAATACGAATCAACGATTCTTTTGGAAAACTTGTAATTTGGTCCGACGAATGTTACTTTTCAAGTTCAGGAATTTTTAATCGCCATAACACGAGAAACTGATAGTCAGAAAAGCACCATGTAATTTTTGAAACGGCTCAACAAAGGCGCTTTGGGGTTGGAGTATCGTGATTTATGTTGGGACAATAAATAGCATTCTTGCGGAAGTCATTACAGATAGACTGTAAGATATTGCCTCAGTATGTTATAATGATATAGATATAGACATTCAGCAAGATGGTAGCCCAAGTCATAACATTGGACTTTTAAAGCCATTTTTAGATGACAACTTCTCTTAAAAATGGATGAATGGATAGGCACTTTTAAATTTTCTTTATGGGGATATATGCGGAATAAAGCATATAAAACAGATTATGAGTCTGTAGCAGAACTTCAAGAGCAATTAGTTTAACTTTTAAAACAATAACTATTTTAAATGCCATTAAAAAAAAGAAAAACGTGCGAGTTTTGTATTCGAGAAAATGATCTCCAATTTGAACAACAGTTTTAAGCATTTCGTATTAATTAATGTAATAATGGACTGTAATAAATTAAAAATTATTACAAAAAGTAGTTCATAACGTATTCAACACATTTAAATAATTGAATTATAAAGTATTTAGTTTCTCGTATCTTAATAATTGCTTAGTTGGATATTGTCTTTAATTGGGTAATCATACAAATAAAATAAAATATTAAATAAAATATATTTTGAGCTTAATTTTCAAAACAACTTTATACTAGTATATATTTCTGAAAAGCTGAAATAATTTTAAATTAATGAAAAAGATAATATACAGGCTATTCCATTAAAAAAATATATGTTTACCTCATAACTAATAAATGGTTAGAGTAAGTAAAAAAAAAGGGATTCTACGGAAAAAATCCCATAGGAAAGTTTTTTAAACTCTTCAATAACTTAAAATATAACGGAGGGTGGTCCCAAAATCGATAGTTTTGGATTATACCTTGTATCTCAAAAGCCAACAGTGCGATGATAATTTTGTTGACAGCATCTTTATGTTCACAAGAAAGCACTTCGGAGCTAGAGCATTGAAGATGCTAAGTGAGATCTTGGCGAAACGCCTGCAGGATTCCAGTCGGAGTTCAACAAACAAACGGATGATATCCCGGAGTATAGTGTCATCACATTTTTCCATCCATACGGGGAGGAGACCTTTACAGACACCAAGTTTTATGAAAAACTAAGACAAAGGAGGGTTATTTCGTTATGCTACTTGAGTTTTCTTATAAATTGCCATGTGTGTTGTAAATTCCAACAGAGTTGTTGGCTTGGTTTTGTCATGGCCAACAAATTTTATAGCAACAGTCTTAGAGAGAAAGAAGGGAAAAGTCAAAATTAATCTATTAAAATAGCTATATGACATACTTAATACAAGTTGGTTTTTTTTTTCAATTTAAAGTGATCCAAACATATTTTTTTATTTTGAACATCCTGTAGCATCTAATTCAAATTCTGCTGCATATATCTTTTACGTCATCTTCGAATAACGCTATATGAATGAAAATAATGGGGCTATTGTAATTTTTTTGCAAATGTGATAACTCATATTACTATTAACAAAAAAAAGTAGAAGGATTTCAAAACCAATTCAAAACAAAATTCAAAAATTGGATATTATATTCGTCAAGCTTTGTTGAGCCCCAATTTAAAATATTTTTAATTTGTGCATCCTAGCAATCTTTACAACTTCTGCATTTCCATTTTCTCATAACTTTTGAATCCAATGAAATAATGAACTTTACTCTATCGTTGACTCACACTGCGCTTTATTGGACAATTATTCCGATAAGGAAGTTTTAGAAAATTTTGGACGAATATTGATGAAATTGCGATACTTTACCAAAAAGAAAACATTTTATTTAAATTATACGTATGATATAACGTTTCCGGAAATTTGTTCATTCCAAATATAAGCCTCTGGTTTTTTGAAAACTACATTTTAGGACATTAAGTTTTACATTTTGACTGATTTTTGAGAAAAAAAGGAAAATTAAAATATCCCAAAACCTATTAAGTTTTGCAAAATGCATATTATGTTCATGTTCAATGTTCATGTCTCTCTTTTAGCTCCACAACCCTCAAAACAGTATACCTTTACGTAGAACAAGGTGAGAAAAGAAAATATCCATTTTTGAAAAACCACAATATTTTCTTTATTATAGTGCTGAAATGTTAAAATTTTCAAGATATGGGTAAAAGGATACGACTATGCTAAAAATAGCGTCAAAAAAAGGTCTACAATGTTGCGCACGGCCGAGATAAAGTTTTGTTTTAAAATGCTCTTCAACCAGGTGTGACACATTTATGTGTGGTCAAAATAAATCTGAAAAAATAAGAAAAATAAGATTTCCGGATAGTAGGATTTCATATTGATATTCAATTTTAAAACAGATTTAAATAATGAGTGGACAGGAAAGGAGTCCATAAAATTAAAGAGAGACGATCGAGAAAGTAGGTCAGTAAAATTTTCATACATAACTTTAGCGGTTCAAATTATCCGCCGTTTTGCAGCAAGCATAACATACATCTTCTCAACACTGCTTCACAGGACGGCCTTAACATTTGCGAGGTGATACTGTTAACGCCTCCTGTAACGGCTTCTCTTAATTCTCCAACGTTTCCATAGAACTTTCTGTATACTTAATTTTCAAGCAATGAAGTGGTGTTATGTCTGGGGATGTCGCAGGCCATCTGACTGCATTAGGTGACGGTGCGCCGTCTTGTTGGAAAAACATTTGTTGCAGTCACTTGTGGAACGTTTATAACATCCGTCCAGAGGACTTTTAAGAAAAAGTTTGATACCTCGGTGACAAGGTTGACTTTCACACGCCTAAACAAAATAAAACCACTCGGTTGACGCCTTTTCAGACATTTATTTAAATACCCTTCTTCGGCTTTTGCTTCGTTTCTACGGCGGAAAATAAAACACTCCTACATATGACACAACTGACATTGAATGTTGACAAAAATTACGAATCAGCGTACTGAAATTATATTTTTGTTATTTTTTGGATTTAATTGAGAAGCGTTTTTAAGGATTTTGAAAATGTAGAAATTCAATATGACCTCCATAAAAAAGCAACTATATAAAGGAAAATACAGTGGTTTTTGAACGAACATTTTCATTTTTCACCCTATATCTACATAAGAGTACGAATTTAAAATAAACGCAGCTATATTATTTTTTGATGTATACATGCGTTACTTTTCTTAAATTTAAGCGACGCGAATCTCTTACCGTTCCCAATATTCCCATGTACATCATATCTTATGCTGCACACCCCGTATAAGCGAGTACAGAATAAAATACGAGGAAGGTCTTAAGTTCCCAAGAAGTCAACAAGATGATTGGCCAAACGTTCGCAAGTTCGATTCAACAACAATCGAGGCAGGATAAATTGAAAATAATTGGAAATAGTATTAAAGTAAGGTCATATACTGACCCATTTACGTCTAATTTTGTTTCTACCCAGATGTCGACTCTAATACGCTTATGATTATCAGACAAGGTCGAATTTTCTTCGGGATTCGTGCTATTGACGAAGAAATCGAAGTCGTAACTCGGAGCCATTTCCTGCTTGTGATAAGGTACGAAGATGACTTTAAATTTAGCCTAAAACGTTAACAGTGGCACAAAAGTTTCTATCAAATGCCGTTGTCTTTCAATTACAATTTTACTTGTTTGCAAAGGATTTCCGACGTCGCAAGTGATCGTATTGTTCTCCCTCGTACTACACAAAGCCCCTTCCGTTTTCTTATAATAAATTCCTTCAGGAAAAGTCAAATAAAAAGTGGTCTCGAACGAATCTTCTCCAAAATTTGACACTACTACATCGAATTCTAAATTAGTGTTCGAGTCCAGTAGGTATTTTTCAACATTCCTAAAATTTAATGTTGACTTTGTCAAGTTTCAACCTCGTATTCGATGTCATCATAAACAGTATCCAAATAGCCCTTATTTGATATTTGCCTCCCAATGACAAAAGAGTCTATAAAAGTCATGAAAATCTTGGACGAGTTATAAAGTTTAAGAAGTTGTTACAGTCAATAAGAATGGAAAATTAGATTAGTCAATAGTGTTTGTGGATGCGATGATTTCATGGTCCGGCTAGTCACTTAATATTGAGGTTTTTTAATGGTTCTTGCGCTGTTGTTGCACGCAAATATCCATAAACACTTTATTACTTCACCTTTTTATAAGTTTCTTGGAAATGTTATACAATAAAAAATCACAAGTTGCCTTCCCCCTGGCGTTACACTATAAAACTAATAAAAAGAAGAATGCAATAAAGGTCTAAACCTGCGTATAAATGTATAAAGTATAAAATTAATTGTATATTATGCAACATGTGCTGTAGACGGAATTTGGCTTACGAGTTTATTTGACACCAGGGGAGCGCAACGGAGCGAGTTTAATAAATGAGTGACTTAAAAAGTTTACCGAACGTGTTTCATACTATAATTTTTTTAGGACAGTTAGTTTTTGGGTACATTATCGCAAAACAACACGAATACATTCACTGAAATGACCATCAGAATTGACAAACGTCAAAATTCAAGGCGTGGGAAATATCTCCGAAAATATCCGATCCAAAAGCGTGCGGTAAAATCCCGGAAATGTCCCAAGTTTCTCGGATCCGTGGGAAACGAAACTGACGTGGTAAAGTGACGCTTCCCGCAAGCTAGATCGAGGTGTAATTAGGTGTTTTACAGAAGGGTGTAGGAAAAAACATATTTTTAGTTATTATAGTATTGATATATAGATTAGTTATTATATTATTAGTACAAAGCAGCCTCATTTAATGAAAAACTATGATATTTTGTCTATCGATACTGACTGATCCACCTATTGGTTACATAACTCCTTGAAGAACAGTCAAAATGTTCATTTTAGTTTTAATGGATTGTAAAGAGGTTCTTAACTATCAAGACTCTGCACCATATTTGACGTTTACATACCAAACATGCTGCGAGGGTAGCTATAGAATTATTGAAAATATTTTTTTCTACTCCCGTCTGTAAAATACCTAATTATGCACCGATCTAGCGTGGGGAAAGCGTCGCTTTACCACGTCAGTTTCGTTTCCCACGAATCCGAGCCACTTCGGACATTTCTGGAATTTACCGCACCGGTTTGGGAGCAATCGGATGTTTTCGGAGATATTTCCCACGCTTTGAATTTTGACGTTTTTCAATTCTGACAGTCATGTCAATGAATGTATTCGTGTTTTGCGAAATTGTACCCAAAAACTATCGGTCGTAGGAAAAGTATAGTATGCAACACGTTCGGTAAACTTTTTAACTCACTCATTATTTAAAAACTCGCTCCGCTCGTGTCAAATAAACTCATGAGTCAAATGCCGTTTACCGCACTTGTTGCGTAATATTCTATTTGGAGTTTGGAGAACCTCAAATAATGCAAAGTGACATTAGCCAAGAATTTACTGCTTACTGGCAGGATTACTAAATTGTGCAAGGCAGGCCGGGGCAAGAAAGAAGTAACGAAGCATGTTTACAACATGCTTCGTTACTGGATATCTGATCACTCCAAAAACTGCTCCAGGGGGTACTATTTTGTACATCAAAACATAGAACTATTGGAAGGACCCCTACCATACAATGTTTCTAGTTGATCTGAACCTTGGATTAAAACCTCCGAAATTCGGTAATTAACGAACTTAGAACAGAAGAGGCAATTGAAAGATATAATCAACCCTTCACGAACCAACAAGACTGAACAGAAAATACCAGAAGGTAATCTTGATTCGGATTCAGGAGGGATTCAAAGTGTGCAATTTTAAGTTCAGGACCATCTTCAAAACTAAATACAAATTTGCCCACATTATGCAACTCAAAATAAAATTTAAATTAGGACAGAACAATTTTAGTTTCGTCAAAAAAGAAGAGCTGAGAAGATTACTGAAAATGAAAACCTCCCAATTTTCAGAATTTAATTGGAAAGTGATTGACCTGAAAAACAGCCTCTAAAAGAAGTTTTAAAATGTAGTTTCTAGAAATGATATTCAAAAATTCAAGACTGTAAGGCAAGTAAAAAATGCGCTTGATATAAAAATTACGTATGCTCTTCCAAATGTCATGGAGTTTGAGATGCATTAGTAAATAAAGAAGAATAGCATAGAAACATTCTGTCCTACCAAAATGTTCAATTATAAGAATATTTTATTTATTTCACACGATCATGAAGTGTTAACTGTTTGTTTTCTGAATAAAAAAGTTTACTGTAACTGTATTATTTTTATCATTTTGTGTTGATATTTTGCAGGTTTTTTATAAATGCGTTGACGGATTATAAAAAGTTTAAATTTGCATTATGCCTACGATATATCTACAACTAAACTGTTCTTACAGCGTTGATAACTATTAGGTTATAATAAACAAAATTTGAGAAAAAATTATCTATTTTTGAACTGAATCAACTTGAATAAATTGAGTAACAAATGAATAGGTTTTCATTTTGCGTTATCAGATTGTCCAAATGCCTGATGTTTATTTCTTAATACGAAAAAATGCCAAAATATAAATTTTGCTAAAGTGGTCTTTTTTACAACTCAAACGGAAATGTTAATTACAAATATTGTCTTAAAGTTAAAAATATTTCTAAGTTCCATTATTTTATTGGATTGCATCTTTTACAAATGTGACATATTTGTCAAAATAAGAAAAATGTTCCAATGTTCCATAATCCAAAAGTTACTGACAACTTGAAAATTATCATCGCTACGTAAGTATGCAAACACTCCATTATGCAATTAATGGCCCAGTGAAATTTATCTTACATTTTCCTTGTTTTACGGTTTAACGCCATATGACCGTATGAGTTGACCTTCTCTGAATATTGGGAATTGGGTTGTTGGCATAATTTTTTGAAAACAAATCTCAGGTAAGAAATCAGGAATAAAGTAATTTGAGTTGGCGTGTTGGTTTCTAATTTTAAAGAAAGCGATATATACTGGATCAAGCTATCAAAAATATAAGTTAACTGAAGTCATTACTGATGCAAAGAAGTCTAAGAAAAGATATTACGAAATGATGCTCCAATGCATCGCAATCGGTTAGTTAACAGGTCTTTAAAAAAGTCATTGGAAGATGGGGATAGTGGCAAACGCTTGGATTTATGTTTGTGGATCGAAAATAAAATTGCAACGTGTAGTACAAACTACACCGTGACTTTTACGCACTTGAGATGGAGTAATTTTTGATATTTTCGAATGTCATATTGATTGATTGATTGCGCAAGACTCAGAGAATATTTTGGTATAATAATGTTTAAATGTGGGTGGGAACGGCTCAAATTCATAGAATATAATGTGGAAGTGCAGCATTTTTGTGTTGAAGGGAAGACATCAAGTTTACCCCCCATTGAAAAGAAAATCTTTGCTTGGGTTGCCCAAAATTACATTGCATTATTTGCATATTGCTTATGGTGACATCGGATATTAACATACTTAATGACGTTAACGTGCAAATTCGGTATGCAGATGTTGTCGAATCCACAATTTTTTTGAATGCTAATCGAGTCTTTCCTTGACGGAGGAGAATTAAGGTCCAAAACCGGCGTTAGACGCGACCTGGGGTCTCGTACTTTACCGTAGTATCCCGAAGAAAGATCTTCAATCATGAAATATTTAACCTCGGCCTCCAGGGCGGTAAGTTTATCACGAATGTCATTCTAGAATACGTAGAGTCTCGAAATTGTTATGTTAAGTTTACTCACTATCTCATATCACCTTAATATAAATTTCCTCGCTTTTGCAAAAATGGCTACTGTCCTTATATAAAACCAAACTTTCCTTAAAGGTGTGGCTATTACGGCTTATAAAAGCCATCCTTGGAACGTCAAATTTCTTTGTATCCAAAATATATTGTAGGTCTAGTTCTGCAACAAGTCAAAATTTACGTAAGTATTATGGCTAGTTTAAAACTGGCTTCACCCTAATTTAATGAAATTTTACTGTTATAGTACTAATTTTTCAAAGAAACTTCCACAGGCTAGTGTAATACTTTTTACCAAATTTCTGGATTCCTCCTGCTTCGGCTTTTGCTAACGTTTCGCCAATCATACTGTTGGCTTCTTCAGAGCTTGACTGACACTGGCTAGCATTTTACTCTGTACCTGCTTATATATTTTTTAGGGGGGGCAGCTAAATGAAGGGCATAAACACAGTATCGGATAACTGATTCCCATATTGGTGATAGGTAAAGACCTGAGTCGCGGTTAAGATTGTTAGGTTGTTTATAGATTTCTGCAGACTCTCGGATTTTTTGTTGGTAGAAGAATTGATTACATGCAAGAATTTTAGTTTTATCGAATAAAATTTTATGTTCGGTTACGTGATTTTGTTCGGCAACTGCTGATGAGTTTATTTGTCTTAGGCTCTTACATGTTCTTTGAGTCTACTTGATATTTTTCGTCCGGTCTCTTCAATGTATTCTTTGCTGCATATGCGTGAAATGCTGTAAACTCATGGCACCTCAAATGGAATTATGTCTTTGCCGGATTGAAGATGATGAAAGATTTTTGGACAAGTGGTAAATCTGATTTTGACTTTATATTTCTCTAGAACTTCTGATATCTTGTCAGTGATGTTTTGAATGTAAAGAAAGGCCACAGTGGCAAGTGCAGGATTGCTTTCGGCTTCATTGCTATTAGAAGTTTGTGGTGAAGTGTATTTTGTGATGGAACGCTTAATATCTTTAATGTGGAAATTATTAGAAACAAGAGCAAAAGTAAGATGTTTTAATTCTGGGTTCAGTGACTCGGACGGAGATAGTTTTATGGCTCTGTAAACAAGATGATTTTTGGGCCAGATGGTAATGTGACCATGCAGGTATCGGTCTGTGTGCGTAGGTTTTCTGTAAACAGAGTGACCCAATGTTAGGTCTGATTTTCTATTGATAAGAATATCTAAGAATGGGAGGTTATTATTAGTTTCCAACTTAATGGTAAAACGTATGTCAGAGTATATAGAGTTTAAATGTCTAAGAAAATCTAGTAGGGATTCTTGACCATAATTTTGGTTTTAGAAGAGCTTTCTTCTCAAAGGTTTCCATAAATATATTCGACTCAACAAAAACCGACGGAGGAGAAATCCAGAAGTTTTCTAAAAAGTTATAGTATCTTTAAAACAATACATTATTTATTTATATTAAGTTTCTATGTCTGGTTTTATAAACGACATAAACATAAAGTACAGATCAATTTGTGTTAAGTATCATAGCTGTTCAATAACCTACTGTTTGTTCGCTTTTTACTTTCTAAATGAGGTACAGTGAAAAAATAAAAATTTTTCAAATATTCGTTAGGTACTATTAAACCCTTTGGGACAAAAACATACCAAAAATATTTGTTTTCACCTATTCTATACATTGTTAATAAAGTGGTGTCCGTTCTTTGTAGCAACTGTCAACTCCGGGAGCATCATTAAACAAGTAAACGAACCCATACAATTTACAATTGAAATAAAAGGGTACAAAAACTCGCTCTGGCTCACTCTAGCGGGGCCGTACGTATTGACTTCAATGAGGCGTTCTGGTCGACACCTAGTTCCTTTATTCGACGAAAGATGGTGGTGAGGGTGTTTTTACTTGTTACAGTATGAACTTAGTTACGGTTTTTGTATATGGAAAAAGGAAAACGCTACGATCTCTATTTTAAAAATACTTAGGGCATTGCAGCGTTGACACTTATGGTCAAACTAGACCCCAGCTTTACTCCATCTTTGGATTCTATGAAAAAATATGAAATTTACTTGGTCTTATATATTGTACTTCTCTCGAGGTATTATGTTTTAGAGAGTTTTGGAAACATACTTTCAACCTTGTTATGTAAAAATGACATAAGATTTAAGTCATTACAGACATGCAAAATATACAGGGTGTCGGAAAATAACATTCTAATAATTTAAGAGGTGATAGGTTTTTAATAAACATCTTAAATATCCTTTGATCGATTTTGTTGAAATTTGGTAGTATTGTTTGTTGTCAGTTCATTAGGGATTAATTAAAATTATATAGCGATTTTTGACAAAAAAATGCCATCGCCTTTTACCACCATTTTAATTTACCAAAATTGCAACTTTTTTGTTTCTTGAATTTTTGTTGTATCATGCTTCATTTTCGAAAAAAAAAAAAGAACCGATTTAATATATGTCCCTAATTGGCAACAAATTATTGCCGGTTTTTTATTAATCTCTAATAACCGTTATTCAGATTACTTGGAATGTCTCAGTTAATGTGTAGTGATAAGAAGCTAACTTAGATTCAACTAGATTAAAAATTTTATATCCTAGAGATAGATATGCAATAATTTGTTTTCAACAAAACAAGGCTTTTTAAAAGTTTGAAAACTATGCATTTGTGGACCCATGTTAATATTTTTTAATTATTTTTTCATGTAGCGAGATTTATAATTTGTTTTATAGTTTTTTCGCAACTTTTCGAAATTGACATTAACCAAAACAAAAAATAATAAAATATGATTTTTTGTGTCTCCATAGGGTTTGAAAGTATAGAGGAAAACCGAACGCATTCTACATGATCATCTAAAATGAATGAAAACAGCTATTTTCTTTAATAGTACAGGGTTAACAAAATTTATATAGCCCTTCTAGTTATTAAGATACAGAGCTCGGCCTGTCTAAAAGTTATTGGACCCCACTTATTTTTTTAAATAAAATAATATTTATTGTACTACAAAATTCGTAGTTTCTTACCTTTTCAGAAGCATGTGAGCTTTCTCTCAAAAAAATGCAAATAAATGGCAGTTAATGTCTTTTATTAATGGCAGAACGAAGACAACAGTTTTTTGAAATATTTACTCTAGTCAATTTATGCTACAAAACTGTTGTTGCAAACTTTGTGTTATTCTAAAACTATGATACCTATTTCTAAATTTCAATTGTTTATTATCATGACCTTCTATTAAAGTAAGCAGTGATTTTGAAAAATTGTCATTTATTTCCTTGTTTCTAAGAAAAAGTGAAAACTATTACTGTACTGTCGAGAACACTGCAACTTTCTACCTATAAAAATAAAGTAGATACCATGCTAAAGTACCCAAACCTCCACACAAAAATTTTGAAAATGATGTTTTTTAATAGCAAAAATCTGTACTTTATGTTATTTTGCTAAATAAGTTGACTTTGATATCCAATGTCACAGAAATTAGACACAGAAGCTTTAGAAAACATTTAAAAAAATAACTTAAACTATAACATAGTAAAATTTTATTTTATTCCATTTAAAATAAATTGACATTCACCTAAGAGAATACAAGGTAAGAAAAAAACAATATCTTCTGCGTTAGTGCGTCTTGAAATCTAAGTTGGAAACCGATTGATAAACTGGTCTAGTACAGGTATAGATGGTAGCATATACAATGTACATATACATGATACATTAAGATTCGATACTCTATACAGGGATCTCTGCTTCTATTATACCTATCGAAAAGGTTAAATTGGGAAAGTTTTAAAAGAAACTTTGTGCATTTGATAACTGGCTTCAGATTTACGATCAGTCAATTGGCCAATTGCAAATTGGTATATCAAAATCATCAGTACCGAGACTGTTAAAAAAGAATAGGTCACTTTCATACAAACACAAAGTAGTTCAAATACTCATTGGGCAGTGAAACACCCTCAGACTAGATTTTTTTACTTTAACTTACGATTTCAAGAAATCGCCATTTTTGTTTGGCTACAGCCTAAACAGACAGATGTACAATAGAGCTTTCAAAAAGTCACAGTGTGCGAGCTTTATAATCCATTCTAACCAAAGATTAGTTTAGAACCTAGTTTCAACAACATGTATGACGAAAGAATTATTTCATTAAATGGTCTAATATCTTGGCCTCCTAGATCCCCTAATCTTTTGCCCTTGGATTTCTTACCCTGGGGTTATACACTATGGATTTCATCCTCCCGAAACCCTGAGACAAATAGTTGTATACATGTTTAGAAATATTAACGGAAATACACTTGTTAGGGTGGTTTAAAAAAGAGTCACCAATTTCCAAAAATGTCTCCATGCAAATAGACGTCATTTTGCAAATATGTAAATTCATTACCAGTTACCAGCAATTAGATTTTACATTACATTAGCTGTAAATTGTTTCTGTCGCGATTTTATTTTCCAATTTATATCGAACTTGTAGGTTGTTCAAGTGTTAATTAAATTAACTACGAGCTTTCTGAATTTCTTTTTGTAAAACACACAGTTGGTAATTTTCCCAAAACATCTAACTTGTCGAGAAGTCGTTCATTAGCTTCTATTTAAAAGTCAATGCGTTTTTTTATGTATTACTACCTATTAAAGTTATTCGTTTGTTACACTCATGATTTAAAGGAGAGAAAAAGACCACTTATTAAAACACAACTTTGATACTTTGAATTATTTTACGTCAAAGTCAGAGCCCTGCTTAGATAAGCAAAAGCTGACAGATAAAATCATTGCTTACTTAAATAACTAAGACCTAACTTTAGAAGTCTGATAAAATCTTTTTTGTGCTTCCGAGACATCACTGAACTGGAAATTTTACACTGCTTCCAAATATCGAAAAATTCAATATGGCGGCCAAAAGGTAAATAAAAATTAATGTGGGTTGCAAACGATTGAGACTTGTCATACATGCTCTATTACTCGTCCTAAAAAAGTGTCTAAATAATGTCAACTTTTGACAGCTGTAGTTTTAACCGTTCTGGATTTACTGGCGTTTTCAACTACTAAGCTAATAAGAGCGGAGATCTCTGTACAGAGAAACGAATTTGAGACACATTGCCTTGTAGCATCTGTAGATAATCATCTCACATCTGACATCGTTGCCGCAATTATTTTAGGAGTTTTTTTGCAATAATTACGTAACTACATATTTTTTTTAATCTCTACCTAAAGTGAGTTGTTTTAAATAAATTTTGCAGAAGGTTTCAAAAGTTTTTCCAAGTTTTTTTTTATTTTTATATTGGTGATTGAAAAAATAAATAAATGATAATCATATAAATATTCTATTTAACTTTTTGCTTCTGAGTTTAGACGAATAAAAATTCAGTCCAGTTTTAATATTTGGCATCAGAATCTTCAAGCAAATACTAACTTATTTGAGGAGGAATTCCTTTTCCTCCATATTTAATGCAGAAGTCAATGGTGGTGCAGGTGCCTCTCTGTCCGTTCGGTAAATTGCAGTTTTTATTTTGAATGTCAATCTGTTTCTTTTGAGTTTGGAAACGCACAAACGCGTCGACGCGAACCACAGGCCTTGCTCTGAAAAACATCGTAAGTCTTACAACCCACACTGCATATCATGTTACCTGAAGAAGAAAACAGAATCGGATAGATATGCGCCGACAGCTAAATCTGGATAATCGTTCCCGTCCATATCTAAACCACCTCCAACAGAAAACCCGAACGTAGCAATTGGTTTACCACTCCTAGTTTGAATGTCTTCCGCATATATTACTTGACCATATTTTTTGAGAACTCCGTTGACTGATCCGTAAAAAATGTAGACAGCACCTTGACCATTTGGACCATCGTAAGGGGCCCCCACAGCAAAATCTAAATACATATATATTATGGTCTGTCTCAAAATATAGTCATGGCCTATCATAGACGTTGTTATTAGTGACATTAGTGTCATTATTTGTAAAGATCTAAGAAAATTTCGATGACCAAATGGAGGTGAGTAACTAACCATAAAAAAAGTGTCGTTTGGGTAATTTGTGTTTGGAAAAACACCATAAACTATGGTTTGTACATGGCGGATGTCCTACGAATTCTTCTTTAATTATTACCGAATGGTTAAATAGAAAATTTGGTAATAAAAACTGATCCATGGTGGCCTCTTAGTTCGGCAGATATCATCCCATTAGATTTTTTCTTGTTGGGAAATTTCAAACAGAATTTTTAGAGGAATCGACCATTTAATAATCTTTAAGAACTTAAGAATTCAATAAGATTTTAAGATGGACACGCATGTTTAATTTTTTTTTCGTATTTTTTCTTGGACATTCCGCAGCTTAAATCGTGTTATTCTCCTACACGCGCCCCGAATCATATATTCCAAATCTTATTCTGATAAATTAGAAAACTAGTATTTTTTAGAAAAATAAAAAAATGGCAAAACACTATTAGGGTTAGGTATATATTACTATTAATAAAAACATTTAAGAATTTCAAAACGAGTTCAAAACAAAATTTAAAAATATATATGTTTTATTCGTTACGCTTTTTTGAGTCACCCTGTACACTTCAAAATAATTTAGAATTGTGCATGCTAACAATGTTTATAACTATTGTATTTACCATTTTCTCATACTGAGATCAACTATCTTTTATTCATCTATCATCTTTTTATTCATCATTTGTTAAAATTTGTAATTTTTCCTATTTTGCTAGATTGTGTAGTTATAAATTGGTTAAAATTAGCCCATAATGTTAATATTATTATTTATTTTAATAAGCTTTTTTTTGCTTATCTAGGATTACATGTTTCTCTTCATTAGTAGATTTTTGTAATCATAATTATTTATAATAAAAATTGTGCTATTTAAGCTACAATTAGCTGTGCCTTGGCTACTTAAAAAGAATTTGAATAAAATTTTCTAATATCGGTTCTACAAACATAAAACTTGTGTTTCGCTAAAATGTCTTAGTTACTTTTACAGATTTTAAATCATTTGCGATAGTATTTAAAATTATTGAATGAAAAAAGTGAACTATTAATACTTTTCGAGAACAAAGCTTTTTTGTTTTAATATAAACTGTTTTGATATTAGGCATGTCGCATGTCTTTTATTTCTAAACAACTTTTCTTAATAAGATTTGACTCAATTTTTGTGCAAATATTTTAGATGCACTTAATATGATTATGGAAAATGCACCAACTTTTGGCATTATTAGTATTTTAGGTGTTAATAAAAAAAATTCCAAATGTTGCAGACTTTAATGAGCACAGGGTATATTTCGTTTTTTCAATGTCTTTGTTCCTTAAGTCTAACATCAGAGAGGAAAAGAAAATAAAAATGTTCTTGAAATCTGAATGCTAGATATAAAATCCTAAAAAATAAACACTTTGTAGTAACAAAAAATATTACCATCATATCCGTCTTGATTCATGTCCCCCAAAGAAGCCAAACTCAAACCAAACCTTGACATAGAATTTTCTCCGTCCAAAAATGATGACTTATTAAAGCTACCCTGAAAATTGTTTTATTATGTTACTGGGAAATGTAGAATATAAAATTATTCAAAACTTCAACACTTCATAACATGGATGTGCTTTTTGAGGCACAATTTTCTGATATAATTGTCATAAGTGACACTAACAGGATTTTGAACTTCCACTGTCTTTAAAACAGAGATGGAAGATAAAAACCGAAAATCTGAAAATTTTTAGTAATTCCATTTAGACAAAATCTACAGAATTCTAGACAAATTTAATCAGTACACGTTCATCAAGTCAGAGGGAACTACTATATCCTTATTCGTTGCTTACAATACAGATAATATGCTACTCAATAAGTAGTTCCAGAAATTCAGCAGTTATCAGTTTAAGTAACCATTCAAATTATCCAACTGCTATTGGGAAATCTGTATTATTTCTTAAAAATTAAAAACGTCCCATAAATGCTCCCGAATCTTGTGAATATTATTTCCAAGACAAGTTACTTATCAATGGATTCATTCATCACACCAGTTGAGAGTATCATGTGTTATTCACAAAGAGCCTCATTGGTATTAATTTAAGCCTTCCGCTGCCACCTGATGATTAATTGCCTAATATTCGCTCCCCCATCAAACTTAGCCCTCTCTGACCCTCAACTCTAAGGTTTTTATAATGACCTTGCGTAGATCTTTATCGCGATCACTCCTGTTGCAGCATGCTGGGATATGTGCCAAGACCAATTGATAAATAAGTCATCCCTGCTTCATAGATTTTAGTTCATTGGGAACGTCTGTTATTGATATCTTAGGCATTAGGGTTTACATGGCCACTACAGGCGTTGTGCTGAGAGTATATTAAGCAACAAGTGATCCTAGTGTTGAAATTAGTACAATTTCGATATCACTAGACACCACTGACCCAAACATGGCAGTTTTCAGTAAATAGGGACAATGCAAGATCCAAATCTTCTTAGTGCCATTAAATAACATTACGTACCAATATTATAACAAAAACACTTACGAATCCTCCACCCTGGTAAAACACATATACCCTTCCCACGTCATAGTGGCCTTCCGTGTTAGGTTCGGTGTGCATTGGGGCGCCGACGATGAGATCAATTTTCTTATCACCATCAACGTCTGCCGCAGCCAAACTATATCCGAAATAGGACCCCAGTTGGTTTCCCGAGATGTTTTTGTAATTGGTTAAGTTCCAGGAGAATAGTAATATCTGCACAAAAAAAGCTTACTGATCAGATGAGAAAAAAAACATGTGATTGATGGTGAGCAACCTACTTTTCCATGTAGATCCGCACCCCTAGGCATACCAACAGCAACTCCCTGCTGTCCGATTCCCTCAAAATCGCCGACGATGGCAGAATAACCTAAATAGGAATCATCATCTTCCTTTTTCCCTTCTCTGGTCTGGAAAACGGCTGGTCTGTTTTCTAAACTTTGTTGGTGAACGGATCCTGTAAATACGTGGAATCATTTGTTTTCATTCAAGTAAAAAGTTATCGTTATTATCGTAATTATATTATAATTTCGCTCCCAATGGTGCTGAAAACTAAATGCTTATTTTTCTAAAACGATACCGGTGGCATTTGATTTTTCAATTTATAATTTATTGCAATTAATAGGTACATATATATCAGTGGATATTGCCTGACGACTTAACTTGCTGGTTACACACAAATAAACACAAAAATTATCGTATCACTTAATAGGTATGCAACAAATATTCGTAAAACAAAATTCAAAGATATTTTCCTATCAGTTATAGAAGTTCCAAATGGTCTTATGAGTCATTTAACTGTTAAAAAGGCCATTACAGCAATTGTTTTCATTTAGGAGGGTTGAAGCTAAAGGTACGTGACCAACTTGCAGAATGTCCAGCAAAGGACCCATTACATGTCGTGCTGATCATTGCCTTGCACACTTTAAGATATCGTCATATGGTAAGATACATCCTATGGTACTCTCAAATGGTCCTTGATTAACTAGGGAATTCGTATTGCCAAGCTAAAATTTGGCAGAGATCTTGTAAATTGCGAGGTCGAAGAATGGTCGAATGTCCTCTTTACAGATGAGTTCAAATTATATTTATATACCTCAGATAGGCGTATGTCTGTATATAGACGACCTGAAGACCTGGAGAGAATTTTATTGAGAGGTAGATTTTTGATGGATGCTCTATGTACTACGGATTGGGGAAGCACATCTCACCTTTTTGGGCTTTATATAGGGCACATTTTGATTTTTATGTTAACATTGCAACTATGAACTGGCCAGCAAGAACCCCTGAATTAAATCCGATTGAGTGTTTTAGAATATGTTAACAAATGGCACAGTAAAACGTACATTCAAAGTCTTTTTGAGGGACTCTCGAGGTGTATGGCAGTAATAAGGGCTTCATGGAGGAAATACACGTTACTAAACAGTTTATTGCAGCTTAATTTGTTGGTTTTTTATTTTAATTGCATTTTTGAATAATTCAAGTTTTGTTTCAATCTGGTATGTGTGCATAATTTTTTAATATGGATTGAATTTTTGATTATTACATTTCAAACTGTTCATATCAGATATAAATTATTACATAAAAAAATACAGCGATGCAAACATATATTTTTTAAATTACAAGTGACGAGATAATTTTTGATGGGCGGGTATATGTACCTACTAAAATACATTTCTGCTAATGAAATAAAATTGTGAATTACATATACAACAAAAATAACAAAAACTGCAAAGACATGTGTAAAAACAAAATAAATCCTACAATGAAATAGACGGATTCATGAGAATATTAAAAACAAAAATAAAGTTAATACGGAAGGGAAAAAATCAAAACTTACAAATAAAATTAATGGTCTAATTAAAACTACTTTGAGTTTAACTTTAACAAAAAATGAAACTCGGAGTTCCAACTTACATATGCAAAATAATAATTTGAAATGAATAGGGCTATTTTATTTTATTTATTATAAAGTTTTCTTTTAATTCTAAACAAACTAGACTAATCAAAACTAACCATAATGGCGTTTTAAAAGCAATCTTGTACTTCAAGGATGTCATTATTTCATAACTTTTGAAAAATCAGCATGTTGGGACAATGCGTTCTTTATTTTCAAAAACTAGTGATTTTTGGAATAGATTTACAGCTAAATCTTCCTATAAATTTGCAGTAAATATCTTTCAATAAGAAAACGAATCCATAATAAATAATATACAGGGGAAGACTAGGCAATATTTAATGCGGTGAGTTCTGCGATCATTTTGTGAAAAAAGTTTCCAGAAAAGCAGGTGTTAAAGTTCTCTTTTAAATAATGTTTTTTTAAATTAATTCAAATATCTTTTGAAGGATTTATTTAAAATATGTCAGCGTTTTTTCTAATGATAAGGGGGTGACTTGACCCCAAGTAAATAGCAATTAAACTGTGGCGTCAGGGTGCGATATATATAAAGTTTATTGATAAAAATGTACGGAACTGACTTTAAACTAATTTTGATTCTTCCCTGAGATAGAGCGACTAAAACTAATATTTTCTCGTATCTTGATTCATTCACCAGATAAAAAATAAAAAAATAAAAAATATTCCAGTAATTTTTGCAAACGATATTACTAAAAATACCTTAATAATTCTAATAGCAAAATATTATAAAAACTGTTGAAAATGAAATGTGAAAAGAACTTTAACACCTTGGGAACAATACATTGCCGGGAAACTTTTCATGATCTGAGGAATCACACCTTTAAATATTGCAGGGTCCTTTTTTAACGCACCTGTATATAATAAAAGCTTCCTTGTGGGAAATATTAATTGTTATTTTCAAGCCTGCATACATTATGTTTACCTAACATTAGATATAAAATATGTCAAAAAGCTGTTCGGTATTTGGCTACCTATGTGACCTTGTATACCAACTGTGTGCATACAAGACCAATTTAAAATAAAAAGTAACAATGCTTTTATTGTATTTATTTATTTATTTTAAAGGATTAGGATTGAATAGAATAGAATAGAATGTGTGTGAAAATATCTTGAAAAGTAAAAAAAATGTTAAAGAATAGTTTCACAATTTACTATTTCTTAGTATTATCAAAATATGATTTATTTATTAAATCATAAAGCAAAATGGTCTTCATAAGTTAACATAGTTTAGGTTCACGTCATTCAGGTTAAAATTAAATGTTGCGTTTTTTTTTCTTAGGAAAAAATAATGAACGAGCATTATCGTACTTTATAATATCTTTATATAATCTGCATGTAAAAAGCATTCACCAATATCGAATAGAAAAACACTAAAAGGAGTGGAACTAAGTGTGATCCCTGGGAACACCCGCTGTTAACACTGCATACTTTCTACTGTTCTTAATAGAGACATATTGAGTTGTACCACTTAAATAGTTCTTAAAAATGCCAAGGAAGAACTTTCTAAGCTTCTCCGACTTCAGCCCTTTCAAAGTGGTCAAATATCTTTCTAAATAAGAAAGTAGTGACCTGTTTTAAAAGTTTTCAACCATAATAAGAGGTTCAATAAGTATTTTAGAAAAATGATTTTAAATTCCAGAAGATATTTCATAAAAATGATGCTAAGCAGTGTTGCCAAACTTCGTCAAGACTTTATATCTTCGACCATTTTTGGGATCACATTTGAATTTCCTCTAATTAAAAAATTTCTTGTGGTTCTTTTAAAGTTGAGATATTAACAAAAACAGAAAAAATCCATTTATTGTCTTAGCATACTTTAAGTTTCTTTCAATATTCTCGAAAATCCGCATTTTCATTTTTTTTATTTAATACAATTAATTATTGCTATCTTAATCTAAATACATGATTATAACATAAGTAGGTTTTCTGACACCAAGCAATGGTATATGGATTATTTCTCATGATGACTCCACACACACTTTTGTACTAAAGCTAACTGTTAAAAATGATTGCAATTATAACTATAGCCTGAAGCACCACTAAAATAAATCAAAACTTAACACAAAACCACATGAAACGCATCCTTTTAATTACGTATTAAATTTGTTTTTGAGAAAACTAACTTCAAAATAATTGAGAAAAGTTTTGAAGTTTAAGTTTATAAAATTTTTCTAACATAACTTAATTGTAATAATTTACTATATGAGTTGTTACTGAGTTATTGTTATTACTATACCGGGTGGCAATACTGGATGGCCTATTTGAAGTATCTGGCTAAGGAATCAATGGAATTAAATTATATAGGGTTTATGTATTTAAAATATTTTCAAGTATGCATTGTTGCCGTTTCTATATAAATGTGGCAACATCTTGCTTAGTTTAAATTGCACCCCCTGTACATCATTTAATTTTTCAATTCTTCTCAAGAAAAAAAGTCAATTTTGTTCAGGTTTTCCTATACCTACGTCTGTCTTGCCGTTTTAGAAATAAAAAATAATATCCCAGATTTTTAAGCAATTTGGTCCATTGTGAAGACAGTTCCTAAAAGGGCTCAGGCATTCATTACATGCATATCTATTCTATATTCTATATGGAAAAATAAGGTTTTTTATGGTAGTTTTAGAAACACGTTTCATTGATTTTTTTAAGTGTTCTTTTTTAAATATTTTTTCCTTTTCGAATTCTAGGAAAAAAGATAAGTTTCCATATACCTGTATAGGAAATAAAATAATAATTAATTTTTAAATTGTACTAAACATTTTCATTTAATTTTAGTTTCTTTACCACTTCAGGGTGTCCAAATAGTGTATGAAAGTAGTATATTTCATTTATGATTTGTTTTAGAAAAACATATTAAATACAAAAGTTATAGATAAACCAAATTTCCAAATATATAGGGTGATTCATAAATGTGTGGAAATAAACTAATATATTTTTTTAAATAGAACATTATTACAATAGTAGATACCCTTTTTTATTCTCAAGCACTCAATGTAGGGCATAACAACCCAAGTTCGGCTTTCTATTCAATTAAAACGTGAAACCATTAATATTTGTTTAAGGGTCCATATTACTTAAAAATCTAGGAAATTACTTTTTATTTCGACAACGGTAGATATAGATAGATATAGGGAACTCCTCTAATATTTAAAGTCATGTTTGAAGCAAATGTGGCTTTTTAATTTTTATTTTTTACTTTAGGTACAATTTTCAATATTTTTACCAGTCTTGGAGATATAAAAAAATGTGTTAATGTGTTAATTTAAGTTGTCTTTATTTTCACATTTTTTCTAAACTGTCACGAATTGTAACTAAAAAACTTAAATTTTTAAAAGGCAAACAAACTATAAGTAAAATGTGTTTTGTGTGGAAAATAAAAAAAATGCGATTTCACAAAAATTTCCTTCGACCTTTAAAGGTATCCATTATACCCATATGGTATTGTGGTTCATTTTTCACAGTAAAACCACAATGCAAATTTTTTTCCAGATAATTAGGATAGAGCCTGTATATCACTGTTCCCATATCACTCAAATTAT